CATCCATCCATCGATCCATCCATCCATCCATCCATCTATCCATCCATCTATCTATCTATCTATCTGCTCACCCGTCTATCCGTTTGTCCGCCCGCTCGTTACCTCATACGGACTATATTATAAAGTTATAATCTTTTATATAGGTTAGTTGACACTTCACGCTCTCGACTCGAGGAATCTGAAACAACCGAAATACCGGATTCTACGAGTACTCGTCGTCGTCGTCGTCGCCGTCTTCGTTGTTGTGTATAGATATTAGTCGTAAAACGGGCCGACGCTATGAGGCGCGTGGAGACTGCACTGCTCGCCCTTCTCCTCGTCATGATCTTGGCGCGAACGTCTGTCGGCGCCGACGACAGCAACTACACGCCTCGGAGCCAGACGCGGCGGACGGGCGGCAACGATGACGACGGCAGCACGGACGCGCGGGCTCCGACGCGACGGATCGTGCGTGGTAAGGACGACGACAATGACGCTGATGAGAGTGACGACAACGATCCTCCTCGCAACGTGGGCCAGTTTAAGGAACTTCCGCTTCCGGACATTACAGATGAAACCCTTAACTTGGATGTTGATCGTTCGAGAGTTTTGCAGGTAGGTTCTTCCACGGTGAAAATATTAACGACGATAGGATTTTACGTCACCACCTGATCATTGCACTATCCTCTTCAAGTAATAACCCCATACAACCCAATAACATAGCTCACATAAACGTTTCATCCCTAGAGTTGTATTGGACGTTATCTTAACATGTTCTAAGCACGAGGGAAACTGGATGAGAAGAGCAGCTAGGCAAAATTGAGCTAGTCATTTACATCCATAAACACGCATGAAATATTCGACAAATCACTCCGCTTTGCGACAATGCATTATTCTCATGGAAATATCATAGGTGAACATATTCCTCTTACGGGGCAACTATTGAAACAACTTTCCTAAGCCGTCGTGCATGATGTCCCACACTTAGAAACGTACAGTAGGCCCCTATGTAAAGATCGTACCAGCTGGTATTGTGGGTCGCACACCATCTTTGTTCTGAGCGATTCATCGCGCTATAATAATTGTGGAATAGTTTGATACTAGTACTCAGTAGTTACCGTCGCCACACGAGTACTATTAGCCTAGTAGCATTGCGATATTAAATGGCCCGTATAATAAAAGTATGTCAGTCTGTTAGTTATTACGACCACAGATGTCTCTCTGTAACAGAATGTTTTCTTTATTGAGATCGTAATATATATTCGTGCTGATATCGTGGGATTTTTTACTATAGAAGCGTTGGCCCATTCTTAACCCGATATTTAATGCATTTAGGCCCAATATACAACGTAGAGTAAACGAATAAACTGCCCTACTTGGCAAATGGTGGACGATTAAAGTGCCAATAAAATCAGCTACATTTGTTAAACTACGTAATGCATTAAGTCAGTACTATTTGATGATTATCTATATCGCCAATGATGATAAGATGTCAGATTTCAAATATCCCATCTACATGGCAGATTTTCCTCCTACATCTCGTAGAAATACGTGCGATTGACGATCGCCGTTGCTTTAACAGATCTACCGCAATGGTATATCATGCGAGCAGCATTGCGACGTTACCCCAACCTTTTCACATGAGCGAAATACAGGTTATAATAGGCTACTGCAGGCGTCCCTACGAGCGTATGGTGAATTCATTGAATGTTGTCGACTTTCACGCACTTGTAGAACGGCCGATACAAGGCCGGCGAAACACGGTCAAATACAGCGCTATCCGTTAGGCTGAAGGTAATTCCAACCTCATCACATACTAGCCGTCAACTCATGCATGGACGCGCGGATGTTTCCAGATATCTGGCACGCCACCGTAGCTCTCAGACGACGCACAATATCTATTTCCCTGAACATTTATTTGCCTTATCACTTGCACTGCCCTATTATTAACTAGCCGCAACTGCATGTCTACACAATTGTCCGAAGGCGGTTGTCTCAATAGATGGCTTGTCTTACTTAATCGCATGCCTCAGACGGACGAACCAAGTCGCCCGAATGACGAGACCACCGTAATGAGTGCGCAGCGTCTCAACTGCTTCCCTACGATTATCGCGTAACGACGAAGTATTAACAGAGCGTGGCCAAGTTTGGCTGGAGAGACGAGTTGCAATCGGCTGATTGCACAACACACACGGGAGACGTGTCAAAAAGTATTGAATGAGCTTCCAACTGTAACGAGGAAATTCGCTTGCATAGGAAGTTTACATATTAGCTCAAAAATATCGTTAAAATGAAGTATGTTACAACAGGACGTACAATGCTGCGACAAAGTACATGATACAACAAGCTACAGACGACCTAACTTCTTCTCAGTAAGTGTAATCCAAAAAAACTAGACTGTGTCGTTCCGTGTTCATTCTTGGTATAAACCCTTTGTAGCTACGCGCTTTCATTGTAACTATTTGTCATAGCGTATACAAATAATTTGTTTCTGAATATAGTTTCTCGCTGAAACGCGTGTGCCCCCCATATGTGTCTAGAAACAAATACTGTCCAAAGTGTGATAATGATGTAAGGGACTTGTAATGTATTAGCAAAGAGTAATAATATGAAAATATTAAGCATCACGGAGCTTAGCCCATGTCCACTTATATATATATATATATATATAAGGTTTATTATATATATATATATATATATATAATATCTCATAATAATAGATACACATTTCGACAATTCGTTCACGTTTTGTTTTTCTCGTTGTTTAGATATAGACCGCTTTATCGAGGTTATATTATAATAAGTTATTACACGTTTATTATAATAAACCTGGCACCAACTATGAACTGAATTCTGCGATGTAGAGTCTATAGAACGTGTTTGCATGTTCGTACTGCGTCAGTAGAATAGCACCTCTACGCCTTGCTTTGTAGTCAACTCCTAAACCGCATATTATATGTAATTAACCAGTTATCAGTTAGCATCAATAATTTAGCGGTATTTTATTATAAGGTGTTAACACGATATAGCGGTAATTCGATAATGCTAAGGTAAATTGTATATAACAGGTCTCAGAGCGGCAATAATTAAATAGCAGTAACGATAATAAAAAGAATGATAAATTGACATTTTTACAGGAAATATGTAAGTGGATGTACTTCATGTCAGCCGTAACAGATAACGGTGCCACCTTCATGTCTTGTATCCCGTTCCTGATTCAATTTCAGGTGCTTAATCGAAAAAGCAACAGGCGTGAACGGCAACACGTATTTTCAATAAATAAGAAGTCCTTTTCTGGCAATTCCGAAGCGCACGTACGCTCTCCGCACACACACCATTTCGTCGTTCCCGTACGACGTTTCCTGTCGTACCATGTTACTGTTTTTTTCGCTTCAATACTGTTTCCTTATAGTTGAGAACTCGCGGCAATTTTGGAGTGAGAGAGGCAATATCTAACGGGGTATACGTTACGCCAAGAATGCAGTCGATATTTAAGCAAATCCAGCAGAAAGCAGCCGAGAAGTTCGGCACCGCTGATGGCCAGGAAAACAACGAGGCTAGTAATTTTTTTAAATAAATTAGTATTAAAATAATATACATGCGTCAAAGAAGACAATAAGCACATATTGCACAAGCAGTGTTCACATGTTACGCGTATCGCTAATAAAAGTACAATTATAGTCGAACGATGTCTGTATACAATAATCTAGCATAACTGAAGATGCGCTATATTCGCGGTGAAGCTTATGACTACGGATTCGAATAATCTGGATGAATAATTCGGATTAACATTAGCAACACAAATGACCATGGTTTTACTCATATCGGCATAGGATCCGCAGCGACAAGAAAAGTCGAGACAAGGGATTCCCGCACCTCTACGTGTGACCTCGGCCGGCGAGTTTGATGGGCTCATAGAGGGCGATATCCGGATAAGGGTGACGGAAATGGAAGAAATCCTAGAGTCGCTTGAAGAGGAAAGGAGGCGCAAACGGAAGATATTTTCTGACAGTTTCAGTCGATGGGACGTCAGTAACCCAATAACGTACAAGTTCAAGGAGGAGGCTTATAGTAAGTATGATGTAAACTATTTCATTAATTTTATGCAATTTTTAATATTATTAAATATTACTATATCTATCTATCTATCTATCTATCTATCTATCTATCTATCTATCTATCTATCTATCTATCTATCTATCTATCTATCTATCTATCTATCTTTCCCGATTCGCCAAGTAACTGGAAAAGGATTTAACTGTTTGCGTTTTATACAGGAACTGACATAAACCTAGTTTCGTCACAGTTTAATATGTTCCTCGTGCGAATAATTTGTTTGAAGTGTAATTCAAGCAAACAGGTAAACAGCGTGGGAATGTAAAGCACATAGCGCTGTTTTTACGGATGTAATTGATTCAGATCGCGTGAGTACTCATGTCTCAGGCAACTCTGAAAATGACCCAGATCTCAAACCAATTTAGCAAATTATGTAGGCAACGAATTAAAACCTCATTCGTCTTAATTGGATCCAGCTACACCCAGAGAGACATGATACAAGATTGCGTGGCACAGCTTTGCTGTTGATCACGAGCGCTGCGCGCGGATGAGACGCGCAGTTCCGCGTGATATGCGCACGCGACCGCGGGGATGTTCAAGTATGAAGCGCTGCCCGCAGTGGAGACGTGCGCCAAATTCGCAGGCCCGGCGCACGTCTCCACAGCGGTCAGCGGATGGTCTGTAATTTTAGTAATATAAGATAACAATGAAGACTTTGTTCTAAATAAGAACTATCGGCGGCTAAATAAGAGCAATATACAGACCTTTGAATTTCTTGACTAGTCAGTCAAAGGGCTTGTTGGGGGTCCATTATGCAGAGCTATCTATCTATTTATCTATCTATTTATTTATCGATCTATCTATCTATCTATGTATCTATCTATCTATCTATCTATCTATCTATCTATCTATCTATCTATCTATGTATCTATCTATCTATCTATCTATCTATCTATCTATGTATCTATCTATCTATCTATCTATCTATCTATCTATCTATCTATCTATCTATTTGTCTATCTATCCGTCTACCGTGACCGCACTAATCTGGCTACCTTTTCACGTGTTTCTGTATGTTGTAGTAGTCTATGAATAACAAACCGACAGAAAATAAATAAAAATAAATAATGTATTTAACAAAGTGCCAATCATTGCGATTTAATACTGTATGTTTACATTAGCCTAATTGTAGTTCAATTAAAACGCCGCAACGTGGGCATAATAACTGGAATAATGGCATTTTTGCGTGTAGTGGAATATGTAATGACGTTCATTGATGTCGCACTCGTTTTATTCCAGACTCCCGGCAAAAAATAATGATCAGACAAGCGTTAGAACACTTGTCTAGCCAAACCTGCATTCAGTTTAATGAAGCAGCAAACCCATCAGGCGACTTCATCATGTTTGTCAAAGAGAAGGGGTAATGTCACTTTCGAAATCGGCACGATCTTACCATAAACGTAATGCAAGCTTGAATCATAATGCTGAAACATCATCGCTCTTTTCAAGAATACCTTTACTAGACTAAAACTCCAACGATCATTGCTAATCGTTTCTGACCTGTTCACCGTTAGAGAAAGTAATGCAAGAACCTCCCAACCGGGGAAATCTTTTTAATTTATAAATAAGAAACTGGCCTTAAACGATGACGAATCACATAAATTATTTACGATAGTATTGCTCCTATATGTCGTTACATCAATGATTAATATTATACGATTACAATAACCATATAGCATTTCAATTGCGTAATTGTACTAACTACCGTGTATTTTCATAGGTGTTGGTCGTACGTCGGTCGAAGCGGAGGAGAGCAATCAGTGTCCATCGATGACGGATGCTTTAGGGTGAGTTAGAGTTACCGAATACTTGTAATATCAGTACTATTTTCATATCAGTATCACTGTACTATTTTTACTTAGGAAGGCAGCTAATTTTCTTTCTAAAGTCATAACTTTTAGCATTTTGATTGGTGTATTCGAATCATTATGGTAACTACAATGGCATCTAAGTAACCGCCGTCAATATTGAGGTTGCCCTTATCCATGTTACGATGTTCAGATGCCGAATTTCCGTATCTGCAGCTTGGTACAATCGTCCATGAAGTCAGTCATGCGCTGGGCTTCATCCATGAACAGAGCAGGCCGGAGCGAGATGACTTTGTCAAAATCATCAAGCAGAACATCATGAATCTACAACAGACCAACTTTCTAAAATATCCAGGTTCCGAAACCAGAAACTACGGTGTTCCTTACGACTACACATCAGTTATGCATTATTCAGGCACGGTATGTTAGGAGATCAATGCTATTCGGTTTGGGTGCTCTCATTTTATGATTACATAACCTATTCACCGGTCGCCACAACTAGTACAAAATACAATATTCAATGTCTATTTAAGATTTACTACCGTTTTAAAGGTTAGATGGTACTAGTGTGTTAAGAGAATGTTAAAATAGCTTAGCATAAATACCCCGGTGCAGCTCAATGCGAGGGAAATGTGGTAGCATTTCTCTGTAGCTTCATCAGAGGACAATGCAATGCATGCTCTAGATTCATCAATGTCTCAATTAAACGAAGAGCACAATAATTATTGGTAGTAGGTATATTGTCTGGGAAAAATAGTTACAATTCGCATGAAAGGTTACTTTACAAAGCGAATCTCCATTAGTCCATTTCCTCTTAGTCAAAACTGGAAGGTAATTTACTCTGTGTATTGACTTATAACATATTGGGTACCACGTAATAGCTAAGCGAGTGCTTTCATTTAAGGCATTCTCGAAGGACCCATTAGACCTGAACCGTATAACCATCAAGACCATTGACCCTCTCATGCAGACGCGCATCGGACAGCGAGTAAAGCTTTCATTCTATGATGTCAAGATAATGAACCTAGCCTACTGCAACGGTAAACGATCTACTATAGTATTAAAACTTCGGCACGGCATAGATCGTAGCAAAACCGAATAGAATTTGTTAACGAGATTTATCGTATTCCGGCATTTTATGTTTTTCAGGCAGGTGCTCGGGAGGGCTCACCGACGATTTCTGTATGAACGGGGGCTACCGGCATCCCACAGACTGCAATACTTGCACCTGTCCAACCGGACTGACTGGCGATAAATGCGAAGCTACAGTTCGCGTCAAAGAAAGTAAGCAACATGTAATTGTATTCGTTTTTCTCGGAGAGTGTTAAATACGTTATCTTACTTATATATCTGCTTCTATTTTGGCACAAATGCACTAAAGACGACGCTGATTTCTTTTCCAGCGCTTGAGGGTGGCCAGATTTTAGACATAAAAACAGACGAGTCTGTGATTCTCTCTAGCCAACTCCCTGCAGGAAGAACTTCGGATATTATTACCAGCTGGCTACTTCGCGTGAGTAAGAAAGTGAAATTAATTCAACACTTTAACCATGCAAATGGTTAGCCAAAAATCATACTTCGAAGACAATAATATCGAATTAGTCAGGTGTTATTTTTTATGTCGTTGCATTACGGTGTAACCAATATGATGATATAGGAGCATCCATACAACTGCGAAGCGCTACCTATATATATATACAATTCGGTTATACGTAAATATTAATATAGGTATCATATATCAATATAACTTGATATGTTTATATAATAATCTTCGTATAATTACTTTTGTCGTGATCTTCTATCAACCACTCCCAGCCGATGTATGAGGTATGAGGTATGAGGTATGACGTATGTGATGGAATCTATATGGCTTATCCGCCATTTTATGTCTACCGATTCAGGCTCCGAAGGGAGGTACGATCACGATAAAGATGACCGATATTGACACAGCGCATTATAGCGATCCAAGATATGGCGATCCAGACTGGATCGAGATCAGACACAAGGGATTAGATCAACCCGGACCACGGTAGGTTTCCATTTCCAAGAGCAAATGCAGTAAAAACACGCGTCTAAGAACCTGAATTTGTCCAAGTTAGCCTAAAAAGGTTCTTATATAATTGGTGTTTACTGGGAAATTAGGTTATTTAGGTTCTTAAATAGGTTCTTATTTTCTTAAGAAAAAAATATGCTTGTTGCTGGTAGAAATTGGTTGCTGGTATATATATTTATATATATATATATTTATTATTATATAATTCTATATATTTTTATTTTTATTAACTTATACAGTATCTATATCTGAAGTGAAATTGCAAGGGATTTGCCACATTTTCAATGCCTGATAGAGATTGTTTTAATTGATTTATGAATTTTCAAGTGTTATCTGGATTTTATCAAATAAGAACCTGTTTCAAATTTTAGGCTAAAACAGGTTCTTATGTCAAGGGGGTCTCAATGGAAAATCTTAGCCTAACAGGTTCCTAATCGGCTAAAAGGTTAACTACCTGGCTTTACCCAAGCTAGGTCACACCCCATGGCTAGCTATAGCCCTGGACGTGTATTCCTCACGGACTGTCCAGTATAGAAGTAGAAGTAGAAAAAGTAATCAATAGGTTATTATACGCGGGTTTTTACTGTATTGCAAATCAAGCCAGTATAAGATATATTGGGCGTAATCACGCGTGTACATTTGTTCATAACTAATTGTGGGATCAGCTAGGCACAGTACGCGGAAGTGTTGCAATATAAAAATAGTAGCTATAGTACGGTGGTCCCAACATGGCGTTTACCAACCGAGATTTCTGGTCTCAAGGTTTGGTCGTACACATCCACATCATACGCTATCACCGCCATCTTACAACATTGACAGCGAAAGGAAAGCAACCCTCATTAACCCTAGAAGTACAAAACATCGGAATAAAAACACGTCTAATTTAACTGAGAGCTTCCATATGTCTTTATCTCGTTAGAAACGGCAACGCGTAGCCGAGGGAAGACGGAACTCCGCTACCCAATAAAAACCAATACGGGAAGCAAGAAATGTTGTTACTGACCAGTAGATGGCGCCCTACGATGATTAGTACAGAAACGTAACATGCATGTTTAAAGAAATACATATGAATATGGACTTTTCTTTAATTTCTCTGATATTTGCATATTATTGGTAATTGGTTACCATTTGCTATCTTACCCCATGATACTACGCCTCATCGATACGTTTAGTACATATAATTCCGTAATCGATATAAATGTTTATAATTGTTTTTTATGAAATTTTAATTTAACCGGAAATTATATTATTCTTCGTAATGAAGAGTGGGTGTCTAGATGTGTCAAAACATTCAATTGCAGCAACAGTTACAATTCATTTCAGCACGTACATTGCTATCAATAGCTAAAATCAGGCAGAAAATCAAAGCAGGTTTCTTTATTCACGCCCTGAGATAACATATTTACTTGGCATACCCACATGCCTTCTATATCACTATTAGATATACGGGGTGCTTGAAAATGTTGAATATTGGAATAAAAAACGATGTTATTCTCAAAATAACAGCTCCAGAACAAGTTGCACACAATTAAGACGCAAACGTACCTTGATAATCTAATGTAGACCTTTACGTTTAATAGGCGCCTTTAAGAGATTTAAATTTGAGATTGCTGTCATTTGTTACTTCATTTTAACTGCTTAGCTGTGTACACGTCCATGTATATTTTGCTTAAATTTCAGTGATACTTTGGCTATTTTATGCATGAATATCGCGTAACGCGAGTAGCAGTAGCAACGCGCGATAATTTCACATTGTTTCCTGTATTGACATACTCGTTATATATATCAAATACGCGTATACTTTAATCTATGATAGTCCATCCCATATAGGATTTACATGGTGTGCCTTTTCGTTCCCTACCTGAAATTTCCAAAATCTGTAACGAGAATAACTACCGCATATACCCCAACTAGAAAATAACCCTTTTTAATGTTAATAATACAAATATCCGTACTCTGATGGTGTAAAAAGGATAATGTCCATCTATTACTATACGTTGTATAGAATGCATGACAATGAAATTCGGATTATTTCAGCAATAATTTTTACACGGAATATTCTTTTTGCTGACATCGTTTCTGCCCTTTGAAGTCCAGTCCCGAGCAGCAGTATCGGCCCGCTATTTCCGCTTCTACACGATCTGAACGGAGAGCAGCTCCGACTGTTCTCAGTCAGCGTCCGGAGTGCCGCTAATCAATCAAACGCAGCAACATCAACATGACATAGACTGAATGGCTACATAGCAGACGCTTATCAACTCGACACGCCTTCCGAGGAAATTTATTTTGTCCTTATAGATGTTACCAAGCGAAAACGATAGAGAATTCACAGGTCGGCCTAAATACGCGAACTACGTATATATATATAAATAATATATAATTATTATATATATATATATATTAATTAAATATATATGAATACGTATGTCTTAGTAGTCTCAACTCTGTAGTATATATAATCACAGTGCACAGCCGACAGTGGTGCAATGCGCTACACCTCCCCCCCTTCTCATCACTGTCTCATCTCCTTCTCTCTCTTCTTTTCTCTCTCTCTCTCGCTCTCTCTCTCTCTCTCTCTCGTCTCTTCGCGCTTTCCTCTCTCCTCTCCTCTCCTGATTCTCTCTCTCTCTCTCGCTCTCGTCACCACCAGCTACAACACACAAAACCTTCGGCGCTAATTTTGTTCGTTTGTGTGTGTGTGTGTGGTGTGTCTGTGTTGTGTTGCGTGCGTGCGTTCTGTGCCGTGCGTGCGTGCGTGTGTTGTGTGTGGGTGTGTGTGTGTGTGTGTGTTTGTGTGTGTGTGTGGGTGTAGGTGTGTGGTGTGTGTGTGTGTGTGTGTGTGTGTGTGTGTGTGGGTTTGTGTGTGCGTCGCGCGTGTGTGAGGGAGAGAGCGCGCATCGCACGGCAAGACTGAGCTTGAGAGAGAAAGAATTGCTAGAGAAGGGCGAGGTACAACAGCTAATATCCTGCACTCTCCTGAGGTCACCTCGCCAAGTTCGACTCTGCTCGCCACAACCGCAGCGTTTTCTTGGGAAATGGATTTGTTGGATGCAGCCTGAGTAGGATCCCCACACGCTACACTCACATGTATCGCTAGACGCCGTGATAGACGTCGTAGTAGTCGCAGCCGTCCGTCTGAACAGGCGTCGCACGTAACATACAAATTGTTTCAATTTTACGATCGTATACGTTCGCAATTTTCTGTAGTAAGAACATTCGAAGTCGAAGACATTCTGACTTTCCGTAAACACGGAGAATTGGCTATCCTGTCATGGAAAGAAGGCTGATTGTGGCGACTTTCAACAGATGCTTAACGACTCTAGTCACTGCTAGCTGGTTACGATATGTGCATTCTTATTTGCGGCCATGTTTCAACGCCTTTTCGCATTACTACCCCTTCCAATAATGCTCCATTACGACGAAGGAGGCCGGAATGGATATAGGTTCGTATCGTATTCATCCGAATGAAGTAGCTGTTGTTGCTGATGCAACTGCTGTATCAATTATAAGTTCAAATTATTCAGTTATTATAATTATTATTATTATAATTAATTATAATAATGATATAAATAGTTATTATTATAAGTAATTAATAATTATAAGTTTAAATTATAATATTAAATTATAAGTAAAAATAAACTCGGACAACGCCGGGTCATAACATGTATATTAATCGGTAGGAAACCTCCAAGTTAACAGACCTGTAGCCTTAAGAGTGAATGACGCGTCGTAACCGAAATGTGTCTCGGCTACACGAGCACTTCGTTCGTATCCGACGTAAGAAGGGGAATGTTACGAACGGAAAACCCGCTAAACCTGTAAGAGAGCATACGACAACCATTGTTCATGATACTTGGTTCCGTCTAACCGGTCGGTATACTTTTGTAATGTGTAATAACATAAACGATGAACAATATTATATGTGTATATACGGATACTGGCTTGATTTGCAATACAGTAAAAACCCGCGTATAATAACCTATTGATTACTTTTTCTACTTCTACTTCTATACTGGACAGTCCGTGAGGAATACACGTCCAGGGCTATAGCTAGCCATGGGGTGTGACCTAGCTTGGGTAAAGCCAGGTAGTTAACCTTTTAGCGATTAGAACCTGTTAGGCTAAGATTTTCCATTGAGACCCCTTGACATAAGAACCTGTTTTAGCCTAAAATTTGAAACAGGTTCTTATTTGATAAAATCCAGATAACATTGAAAATTCATAAATTCATTAAAACAATCTCTATCAGGCATTGAAAAGTGGCAAATCCCTTGCAATTTCACTTCAGATATAGATACTGTATAAGTTAATAAAAATAAAAATATATAGAAATAGTAAATAA